GAGCAAAGCCAGGGAGGCGGAGGGGTCCCGCGCCTCTGAGGCTTTGCTGTGGCAAAGCCGGGGAGGTGCGGGACTCCGCCGCCGCTGCGGCTTTGCTCCCGGTGCCTCTGGTCTGCTGGGGACCGCCTCCAGCAGACCAGAGACACCGGGAGCAAAGCTGGGGAGGCGGAGGGGCGCTGCCGGTTGGCCTCTTAAGGGGGGGTAGTCTTATACGGCGAGTATAAGACGAAAACCTATCTTTTAACTAATAAATTAGGGGGTCGTCTTATACGCCCAGTCGCCTTATACGCCGTAAAATACGGTACTTTAGAAAGTGGCATCCATGAGAATGAGCAATAAAATGCATTTTAAACCACTTGCAGCCTGGTTCACTTAGGTGTCTGATAGAGGAGACAGGGAACAGATCAGACTGAACGCCTCGCTCTCCAATTTGTTCTCCACCATGAGTCAGAGTAGATCCAAAGCAGAGAAAGAGGGCAGATGGTGGAATACAGATTGATAAGATCCATGGTGTCCAACACGTTAGCCACATGTGGCTTAGTGGGTATTTGGCTGGTTGAGTGTGGCCAGTTCACTACTGCAGTAGCCACCATAATGGCAATGGCTTCAGAACTGGTTAGACAACAACTGGATTGGACCCTGCATCTTGAAGAAACTAGGGATGTTAAATTTAAGATTAAGTGGCTAATCGAATAGTTGACGCAATTTGCATTGACTATTTGATTAGTTGATAAGGGTGCCTCTGCCTTTCAAGTGTAGCAACAGACCCAGGCCTGCTGCTGCACTTCAAAGGTGAAAGCGCTGCAGGGAGCATGGAGCTCAAGCAGTCCTCCGCTGACTCCGGGCTCCATGTGGCACTGCCACTTTGAAATGCCACAGGGAGTCCAGCATCAGGCAGGCTTGGGCACCACCAAGTTGTGATCCACTGCCAACAGAGACAGACTGCAGGCTTTATTGTGCCTCAGAGACTTAGAGTCCTAAGTTCTCTGGAGCTAAGCTAACACTCGGCGTAGGGAGGGTTAGAACAGACCTGCCTGAAGTGGATTTGGAGGAAGACTAAGCTTGAGGCTTATGAGAATGCTCCCTGCTCTCCCAACAAGACTTGGGCCAAACCAGACTCCACTCCGGATTTGGACCTTGTGGTAGGAGGCATGGTCTTCACGGAGTCAGGCAAACGGATGGTGGGGTGGGATGGGGGAAGTCTCAGCTTGGTTCCAATTGCTGCCTCACGGCCTTTTCTATTACAAGCTTCTTACAGCAGCAATTCCCACCCTTCCCAGCCATAGCTAAGGAACAAAGGAGCCCTTATTGTTATATAGAGAAGGTAGAAAACATGGCCCAAGTGGACCCTAAAAGCCCAGAAGAACAGAAGGCAAGTAACTCCAT